GTCGTGATCCAAACGCTGATTTACATCACTTATGTATGCATTAGAGATGAAACTCAAAACTTTTGCAGTGTTGAGTTAATGACTTGCCGCAGTTTGTAAGTGTAATTGACTAACTGGTCTTTTTGTGATTCTGTCTCACTGATACAGGAGTAGTGATGCTCCTGCCTCCATCAGGATCCATGGACACTAGACAATCTTTGTCATTTCCGGAAGTCACGCTGCCATTTCCGGAAGGCAGCTGGTGCTTTGCTCAGCCTTCCGTGCTGTGCTGTGCTTCCGTCAGGAGATGGCCCTGCTTAAGCCAGCAAGTGGCCATAGTCCAGAGAACAAAGCAAAAGCACAACATTGTGAATTTTCTGATTGTATTCCCTACAATTTTCTGTTGAGCATTTAAAAATATATACTATACATATTTTAATAATAAGTATAATTAGTTTGTTCCAGGAATGCTTGGTTTTGCAGTGATGGAGCAAATTCCTGAATTATTTATCATGTCTAAAAAATAATTATGTACTAGTCATATGGCACATGGAATTCTTGAATCCTTGAATTAATTCCAGTGAAGCAAAACTTGGAGTCAGGATTGTCTCTAATGAATCCCTACTTTGAGAAGTGTCATTTTAAAAAGCCCCACAAGGCATCTTAACAGTCACTAACCCAAGTGTTTTGTATTACTCAGACACCATCATGAATAATTCTGTGAGGTTATGATGTATTTGAAAATTCTGGAAGCTAATGACTGTCTGAGTGTGCCCCAAATAAGGGTTCTCCAGTGGCCCCAGTGGGCAGCATGTCCATCTCCTTCTTGAGATGCCAGATCAAGGCAGGTGAATGATGCTACAGCTCATCTGTGGTCTGTGCTGGTGTCAGAGGCAACCAGGAAGCCTGTACAAGGCCAGGGTGATTCCTCTGGCCACATGACCTTCTCAGGACAAGCCCCTCTTCCGCCACTGTGACCCCAGAAGACCCAGGACTGTGTATCCCAAATCATTATATAGGGCAGTTTCTATCAGGACAACATAAGAAGAGATCAGGGCTTGAACTTAAAAGCCACAAAACAATAGCAATAAAAATCCAAGCTTTTATGGAGACAGTCAAGACCACAAGCACAAGTGCAGGTGGAAGATGCTGCCTTTGGGTCTGATTTCACTGTGGCACCATGCGAGAGAATCAATGACAGATGACATGGTCCTCCACGCTGAGATGCTAGCATCCAAATACCGCCCATTTATCTTCCACCAGCCCGAGCATGTTCTCAGTCAGTGACACTCCCGGTTCCTTGCAACTTCCTGAAATTTCAACATCAAAATGATCTTCCTCAAATCAGGTGAGCATGTATATCAGTGGTCCCCAGCCTTTTGGGCACCAGGGACTGGTTTTGTGGAAGACAGTTTTTCCACAGCCTGGAGGTGGGGGAATGGTTCGGGTGGCTATGTGAGCGATGGGGCGCGGCAGATGAAGCTTTGCTCACTCACCTGCCGCTCCCCTCCTGCTGTGCGGCCTGGCTTCTAACAGGCCATGGACCAGTCCCGGTCCACTGCCCAGGGGTTGGGGACCTCTGATGGATATCGTATTGGACACTTTTCTTTCTGTGCAGTAAGGCTGGTTTCCTCAACCCAGGAGCACAGAAGGGCTCACGTGTGCGCTGGGACTGTCCCAAGACCTTTATAATCATTATCATCTGACTTCTTATTCCGACCTTATGGGGTAGGTGTTTGCACATGATGAACTTGAGCCTTAGGAGACCAATGAACTTTCCCCATGGCACAGAGCTGCTGAGCGGGGGGCCAGCAGCAGCCATTAGAGACAGGTAGACCGTTCTTAATTGTGCTCTTCCTAAAGTGCCTTTAGTGTCTTTCTGGGACTGTGACCCAAGGAGCTTATTTGTTCCCTTAAGAACTCATGGTCACCGTGGGAGTCCTGACTGGAGAATCAGAGAAACTGAGCCTGGGGAAACCCTGGCTTCCCACACCTCCAGGTGAGCCCCGCTGCTCTGTGGCCATGAAGTCTAGGCTCAGACAGCCTTCAACAGACCTACCACCCACCATCGTCCTAACCAACCATTCATTCCCCATCCACCTCAAAAGCCATGCCAGGAACAACCACTTACTGCCTGACAACAGGCAGGTTTTCTTGAAAACCCCCCATCTAATCGGTATTTTTCAGAAAACGTTCAAGAAAACAACATTGCACTCATTGCCTAATGCCTTCTTGAGAAATGATTCGGTGCTCTTATTTTGAATACCCTCACCTTACCTAATCTTTGAATTTTGTCATGTAATTTATTACTTCATGAAACTTACTTTTCATATGTGAAATTAAAACTGTTATCCAAGCCATGGTGCACCTTTAACATTTTTTTATCTTCTGGAGTGTGGATGACAGAAAAATGTATCAGCTTTCCTCATCTCATCTTTCTGTTACAGGATGATTCATTGTATGGTTACTTACATGGCACCAAATGTTTCTAATAAATCAATGCTTTGAAGTTGTGTATGTGTTTACTTTCAGATATTAACCAGTCAGAAAACGATGGAATTTTCTATTCCAGACCCTTTGAGGAAATTGAAAATAACATTACCACTAAGTGGGGAGCAGGACAGGGTACCCACTAACACTAGTGGAAATATTTTACTGGAGATACTGGCTAATTCCATTAGGCAAGAAAAATAAATGAGAGTTACAATCTGGAAAGGAATTAATAATGACAGATGATGTCGCTGTAAGACAACCTAAGAAAATTAACAAAAACACAAACACAAAATTTATTTACACAAATAACAGCACAATGAACTTACCAAAATCAATAGGCTTTACATATCCAAACAATTATCAGAAGATAAAGTATAAGGAAAGACCTGACTTTCAATAGCAGCAAAAAAGAAAAAACAGCTAGAAACAAATTTAAGTAAGTAACATCTAAGTCTTAGATGAAGAAAATTTTAAGATGAAGAACACAAGAGAAGAATAAAGAAGACATGTGAAACTTTTGGGTAAGAAGTCATCATAAATTGTTAAATCTCTGTAAATTAATTCATAAATATTACCTGATCCTGAGTCACAAATGTCTAGCTATTCCCAGTATCCATTCTCTGCTTCATCCTTTCAAGCAATTCTTCATCCACGTACTTGAACTACAGATGTACTTACACACTTGCAGAGTTGCCACGTGCATTTATACTGTTAAAGCAGTTAAACAAGGAGGCCATTAGCCCGAGGGGGCTCTAAAGCCCTGGAGCCTACACCAGCAAACCCACAGCTAAGCCTGTAAATGCCTCAAGGTTATGAAGTTGAAACCTGAGGATGACTGATCATAAACAGACAATTAGGCCTTGAA